CAGAATGTTAACTGTTAATGTCAAAATGGCTAAAATTAACAGGTGTTGGTGAGGATACAGAGAAAGGAGAACCCTCTTGCACTGTTGGGGGGAATGCAAACTGGTGCAGCAGCCGCTCTGGAAAATAGTATGGAGGTTCCTCAGAAAACTAAAAATAGCCCTACCCTACGTTGCAGCAATTGCACTATTAGGTATTTACCCAAAGGGTACAAAAAACAGATTCGAAAGGGGACATGCACTCCAATGTTTCTAGCAGCATTATCAACAATAGCCAAACTATGGAGAGCCCAAATGGCTATCAACTGATGAATGGATAAGGAAGATGGAATACACCCATGATGGAATATTAGTCAGCCATCAAAGAGAATGAAATCTTGCCATTTGCAATGACATAGATGGAGCTAGAATGTATTATGCTAAGCGAAATAAGTCAGAGAAAGGCAAGTATCTCATGATTTCACTCATGGAATTTAAGAAACAAAATGGATGAATACAAGAGAAGAAGAGGAAAATAGAGAAGAAATGGAAACAAACCAAAAGAGACTCTTATTAATAGAGAACAAACTGAGGATTGGAGGAAGGTGGGTGGGAGATAGGCTAGAAGGGTGATGGGTATTAAAGAGGGCACTTGTTGGGATGAGCACTGGGTGTTGTATGTAACTGATGAACCACTGAATTCTACTTCTGAACCCGATATTGCATTGTATGTTAACTAACTGAAATTTAAATAATAATTTTAATAAAGATAGGAATTAGCTAACACACTGAAAATAAGACAACCCAATGGGACACAAATCCCTCTGGGATAAGGAAGGACGAAGAGGTCACAGTCTCTAACATCAGGCCTCATTGTCAGAGACCCCGTTACCTGAGACAGGGGTAGAGCCATCTGAGCCAGGTGAGTGTTCTGCCTTTTTTCTTCCTGAGCCGTCTGCCACTCAGTGCTCCAGAAGGAAGCTATGGATTGCCTGTATCCCCTCTGATCTGCCTCGCTTTCTGAGAGTACAGCCCTTACCAGGCCACGACCCACCCACACGAAAAGCCACCACCGCTTTCTGTTCCTTTGCTGCTAAAACCAAAGCAATTGCAAGGAAATCAGAATTTCTACGGTCCTCCGTTGTCATCATGAAGGAGGCTTTGCTACCGCTTTCAGAATTTGGTAAAGTGTGTTATGTTTGGCATCTATGGACGATAATTTGTATTCTGTCCAGCATCTATATCTTCAGAGAGAATAGTTTCCATAAGGGAGAGTGGTAGGGAGAAACAAGACTCACGTTTGTCTGGCAAAGCTAGTCAATGTAAATTAATTCAGGGAAAATTTCTATGCCAGGAAATTAAGGCAGCTCATGGCTTAAACAAAAAATCCTGTTTTTTAGGGGGGGAAAAGTAGAGTAAGTTATACTGGTTGCTGAGGAGCAGATGTACACTCTCTGTGCAGGACCTTCATGTGGCTAGCATGGGGTTCGGACCTACCGTCACATTGCTGCCAGTCCCATTTAAGGGACGAGAAACTGAAAGGTCACCAGGGGACTTTTTTTTTTTTTTTTAATTAATAGACTTTATTTTTACAACAGTTTTAGGCCTACAGAACACTTGCAGAAGAAATCAGGGACATTAGAGTTTCCATATACCTCCCCCAGCCACACTTCCCTCTATTATTTTTGTATCTCGCGTGGCAAGGGAGCAGGTTCCAAGTGACAAAGCAATATAGCATAGTATTATTTTTTAAAGTCCATAAAATTTACATTAGCGTTCACTCCCTGTGTTAGAGATTCTATGGGTCTCTGGACAAATGTGTCTTTATGGGACATTCATTGGCTGCCACAGGCTCAGCTGTTGGCAGAGCTTCACTGCCTGAAAATCCCTTTTGGGTCTCAGACCCCAAATGGGTCCTCAGCCCCCACTTAGTGGCCCAACTGTGGGGAGGTGCGTCTGAACCCCCCCCCCCCTCACTCCCCATCGTTCCTCAAGCTAGCCTTTTAGGCTTTGTGCACGGAGTGATTTCTGTTCCCATGCAAGCCCCACGGAGCCCCTTTTTGCCTCCGCGCTTTCCTGCCCCCTCTGCGCGCATGAGCAGGTCTCTCTGGATCAGTCTATTTCTACTTTCCAGAGCCACCTTCCATGCAGTGACGCGGGCCTTCGGCAAGGGTGGACGCCTCGACGTGTGTGTGGAGGTGTCTGAGGGAGGGCTCGGGAGAAGGACACAGCTATTGGAGTGTTCTCTCGCCTCCCCGTTGCTGCTGTTAGGGCGTGCGCGGTTATCCACATCACCAGCATTAGGCTCTGGAGCAGTGTTCACCCCCCCCCCCCCCCCGCTTCCCCACCTGCCGCCCAGGCACTACTTTTGATTCTAGAAATGATGAGAAAATGAGGGTTAAGCATCTGACTCTTGATCTGGACTCGATCCTGATCTCTTGGTTCCTTAGTTGATATTTCCCTCTCGCTCTCCTCTATGTTGTCAGCACTCTGTAGCTGCCACACACATCCTTCCTGTCCTGCTTTTCCTGCCCCTCTCCGGCCAATTTTGTGCACGCATCTTCCCCCCCTACAATGTAATGAATATTAAAAAAAAAACAACCCAAAGATCATTATTCAAGAACAAGGTTAGTTTTTCTTTTCCTTGTAAGTTTTTTCCATGGCTATATCCCAGTCATTCCTCTTTTTTGAATTACTGTTTAGAATTCCTAGAATATTTTCCCTATTTTTATTTTAGACTCTTCGGAAGAGTCTAAGAATTACCGGCTTGTATCACTTCGTAAAAGTGATAAGTAAAAAGGATATTGTTATCTTTATAAGATTTCAGTGCTGAGTCTCTTATGCTCACTGGTTACTGGCACGTTATCCTCTTTGGTCCAGGCAGGAGTCCTCAGTGATGGGTCCATCCATTTGCCTCCCTTGTATCCCTATGCCACATTCCTGTTCTCCTTGCTCTTTCCACAGGCAAGCAGGTTAGTGTGTGTGTATATATACATATATATTTAAACTTCTAATATATATTTAAATTTTATTATTAGAAGTGTCTTATTGTTTGCATTTATTTTAATTTATATAGATGGGTTCTGTGATTCATCACAATTCTGTTTCTTATTGGGCCTTGTTTTCACAATGCATCATGTTGTCAGTTCACCTACATTTCTCCGCGTGCCTCTGTACATTTCCACGTGTTGCCTATCGTTTCTTCCAGTAATGGTCACCAAGTTCAAATATATTTTATGTTTTCTTTACATATTCTTTGTGTTTGAATATATTTAAGCCCACTTAATTGAATTTATGCCTTCTGATTAAGTGTTCAAATATATATGTATATACACAAATATAAATATACACACATATATACACAAATATATATGTAAGTATGTATGAACTGTATGGGTAATAAAGATCTGCATAAGTTTGTGTTAAATTTCAAGAGCTGATAAGTAATTTAGAGAGTTGTTTTCCCAATAAAAGCAATCCTTTGAGTAAAGACAAAGCCTACTCAGACGTTGAATTCTTATGTGCAGTAGAGTAAGTTCTCAGAAGCCTAAAATAGAGTCCAAAAGTCATAAGGAATAAATAAAATGCTATAAAAGGAGACTTAACTACCTTACTTTGTTATTATATCATATATTAAATATACTTTTAAATAATAGTTTGTTAAAATAAAGAATATCCTTTGGAGGGCACCTGGGTGGCTCAGTCGGTTATGTGTCTGACTTCGACTCACGTCATGATCTCACGGTCCGTGAGTTGGAGCCCCGCATCAGGCTCTGTGCTGAATGCTTGCTCAGAGCCTGGAGCCTGCTTCAGATTCTGTGTCCCCTTTTCTCTCTGCCCCTCCCCCGCTCATGCTTTGTCTCACTCTGTTTCTCAAAAATAAATAAATGTAAAAAAATAAAAAAAAAAGAATATCCTTTGGAACATACTTGTTCAGAGTTTTGTGAATTATGGAAAATATCTTTTTCATGTAATTGTTGAATAGATATGTGCCTTGGCATTTTCCCATAAGGACTTGAGGTGTCCTTCTACAAAGACCATATACTCTAAGGATAATGAATAGAATAGGAATGGAAAGAATAGGAATCTCCAAATATTTTATTTAAAATCAAACATCGTAGAGGTGCCTGGGTGGCTCAGTGGGTTAAGCGTCTGACTCTTGATCTCCTCTCAGGTCATGATCTCAAGGTTTGTGAATTCAAGCCCCGCATCGGGCTCTGTGCTTACAGCATGGAGCCTGCTTGGGATTCTGTCTCTCCTCGTCTCTGCCCCTCCTCTGCTGTGCACATGCTCTCTCTCTCTCTCTCTGTTTCTCCCTCTCTCTCTCTCTCAAAGTAAATAAATAAACTAAAAAAACCCAAAACAAACAAAAAACAACCATTGTAGCCTTGGTTGAACATTACATTTAACTTTAACCTTCTTATAAACTGAAAAATCGAAAACATGGTAAATTATATCGGTTTTCATAATCCAGATGGAGGAAGCATTCTCATTCCTTGGGGTAGATACCGTTTCCGGGCAGAGGCACTTCTTATTGGACGTGCCCTACAGGAGCCACGAATGTAGGAAGCAGGCTAACCATTAGCAGGATTGACATGGAATTCGGAAAGCTAGAAGCCTGGTTCTGAGATAAAGTAGAGCTTGTACTTAGGAAGCAATGTTTACTTACACCTGACCAAGTGTTTGACTAAGACCCTAGAATTCTGTCACACAGAACGCGACATCATTAGCATGAGGATTCCGTTCAGTCTTCAGAATTGCCAAGTACAGATAGGAATCCTGGTTTGCCCCCTTGTTATCTGTGTGGGCCTGGACACATTTAATCTCTGCAAGCTTCACCTTTCTCATATGTAAGAATGAGAAGTAACAATAAGCTACCTTGTAAAATTGTGGCTAGGATTAAGTATGATCGATGAGCCACGTGAAGTTCTCGGACGGTCCGCGCGCCTCCCCAGGTCTTGAGTGTACATTGACCCCTGCCCTTTCTCTTCACCGTGTCGATGATCATTCTTTCTCTACTTCAGGGAAAGCACAAATTGCATGTAGATACCGGAATGGAAGGCGACTGGTGTGGCCTTATTCCTGTCGGACAGCCTTGCAATCATGTCACCACAACGGGCCTGAAGTGGAACCTCAGTGAGTAAAACCCTTGCCAAAGGGAGGTTTCCTTTCTTAAGAAGCGTATATAATTCACGGTGAGATAAATACCTCTCTGTCTGGTACACACCTAGCCATGGAGCTGCTGGCTTCTAGGCAGCTCTGTGTTCAGCCTGCCGGCGAACTGCCAGGCCGTCTTCCCAAGCGGCAGCACTGTTTCGTATTCCTCCCAGCGACGCGTGAGGTCTCCTGTTGCTCCACATCGTCACCCACACTTGGTATTTTCTTTTTGTTTGGTTTCCACACATCTTCGTGGTTATGAAGTGGTACCGCATTGTGGTTTTGCTTTTTCCCCGATGACTGATGATGCCAAACGCCTTTTCAGGTGCTCAGGGGCCACTTGTATATTTTGGAGTAATGTCTTCAGATCTCATGCTCGTATTTTAATTGCGTTATTTTGGTTTTTTGGTTGAGTTGTAAGATTTCTTTATATATTCCAAATACAAGTCCTTCATCAGATTCATGACTCACAAATATTTTTCTCAGAGTCTTTGACTAATCTCTTCAGTGCCTGAAATTTAATTAACTAAATTCATTAATTCTGATGACGTCTGATTTTTTTTTCCTCTTATGGATTCTACTTCTAGTGCCGAATGTAAGAACTGTTTGCGAAACCTTCTTCATGATTTTGTGTTGTTGAAACCCCCTTTACTTTTCCAGATAAGCAGGAATTCTGACCAAAGTAGTAAATTCTCTTCATAATCAAACCTCTGAGGTTTTGTAAGATTAGCTGCTCTTACTAAGTTTTAAAGTGTTTCCCAGTACTTATTAACTGTAATAAGTCCAAATTATACTGAAGTGTCTGATTTGAAAGGAACAAAAAATGAGGTGTATCTTTTCATGAATTAAAGGCTGATTCCACAATAAACTGTCAGGCTTGTGAAACGAGTCAACTCCAGTCTCTTTAAGAATAACGGCAGTTTAATCAAAGAGCTTTGGTTGAATGTCAAAGGGATTGTCTCCTGATTGACCAGTACCTCTAAGGTTGTAAAAACCAAAATACGGAGCCATGTTCTTTTAGAACATGTATAACTCTTAGGTTCCCACAAGGAAATAAATATTTCAAGAAGTAAATAATTTGAAGATAAAAAGATATTTTAAAAGCCTTTTCTGTGAGCCACTGCTGAAACAATTAGGAAAAACGAGAGATATTTTGAGGCAAATGTCTGGAGAGCTCATCAGAATTTGAAAGGATGGTGAGACAGATCCGCTCTGGTGCAGGGAAATCAGTGACGGGCTTTGAAGCTGTTTAGCTAAAACTGACATGAGTTCCCATTAGAAACTTTCTGTGAAAACATCTGCAACCTAAACCAATTACACTTTTTAGAGTTCCATTCTTTCCCAGGACCGAGTCTGGATACTGGTGAGGTCCTTCTGGATCTGGCAGTGAGCTCCCTTTTCAGGGCTGGTTGACGGACACAGAGGGTGATGGTCGATTCTTCCGGGCTCCTGAGAACATCCTGTGACCTGGCTGTCCCACAGTAATAAGCACTCCCTAATTCTGTAAAATGAAGTTGACTCTGGGAAGGGGACCTTGGGCATGACGTGGCTTTTACTCTTTTTATCCATGATAATGTTCCAATCCTGCAGAAACGCTCTGTATTACTACTTACTTATATGTGTACGGATGGCACTAACTTTTGAAATAATTATTTTTTCATCTAGAATTTTTATGTAAAATATGGAAATAGCAACTTAATGGAGTATGCAAAACAAGAAAATTGAGACAAAAACCGCTTCATCAATTCTCTGTGGTGAAAATGCTAACTAATGGGGTCTTGTGACAGGTAATATTACTTCATCAAAAAGTAGTAATACCAGCTGGGAAATGACACAGTGTTGACTGGAAGAGCAGTGTCAAGATTTCTGTCACCGAGAGGACAGGGCCTCTGCTTAACTCGGTGTCACTGGGAAAGGTGAGGCCTGAGGTCAGTGTCAACTTGTCGGTCACACCCACGAAGTGACAGTGTGGCCTGGCCGGGGGAAGAGAAAGGAGGTGCAGTAACTCAAGTCAGGTGCTGATCACTTCTTAGGTCAAGGAGAGGACGCAAGTCCTCCTAAGGAAAGCGATCGATGTCTCCCTCATGTGGTCTGGAGACTGGCTCTCTCCCAGGCTTTACCTGCTCTAAAATATGATGTCACAAGTTCTGAAACTCATCCCGATTTCCCTGTTTTCTATTTGCCATATCTCTCATCACACTCTGTCTTTAAAACGAGTGTGAAAGATGCCTTTGTACCAGTCACCTAGAAGTGAAACTTAACTGTCTCTGAAGTTGCCTGTCTGTAGGACAGTGTTTTATTTCCTCGCAGTGTGCTGGGAACATTGTGGAACATGGTTCTGGGACCAGAGTTTTCTCTAGGCTGTGCACGCTCAGGAGTAAAACAGCTGCATCCTGGACCTGAGTGCCTTCACTTTTCCTAAGTGTTCCACACTGCTCTGACAGTGACAGTGGGAAAGCCACCGTGAGCTCATCAGGAGAACGCAAGGGTTCCCACACTCTGGATCCTCACGTGATTCTCGATATTGTCACATTTCAGCATTTTTGCCAGTCTGATGCGTGTCGGTGATATTTCATTACGGTCTCTGGTTACCGCTGAGGGAAAGCATCTTTCTGTAGTTACTCCTGGCTTTTTCATCTTCATAAATGTTAGCATTAGCTTGACAGGTGTCACATACACACAATCCCATTGTATGTTTTATTGGAATCATTTTTCATGTGTAGATTAATTGCGAGAAAACAACAATTGGGGAAGAAAATTCCTATGTGTAATTGAGTCATCCTATCCATAAACATATCTCTCTTTTAGAACTTTTTAATTGCTTTCAATAATTTAAAAATTTGTCCATAAAATCCTGTACATCTCATATAAGATTTATTTCTAGGAACCATATATTTTGTGTTGCTGTTGTAAATTATACCTTTTAAAAAATTAAATTTCTGAGTTCCTTGGTAGTACATAGACATACAATTGACTTTTAGTATATTGTTATCAATTTATTGCTGAATGCTTTTATTGTTTTTAAAAAATGTGAGTATAGATTCACTAAGGTTTTCTATAGACAGTCATTAAAAAATTTTTTTAATGTTTATTATTTTTGAGAGACAGGCATAGACAGAGCGGGGGGAGGGGCTGAGAGACAGACAGAGACGCAGAATCCAAAGCAGGCTCCAGGCTCTGAGCTGTCAGCACATAGGCCTTGAACTTATGAACCTTGAGATCATGACCTGAGCCAAAGCTGGGACGCTTAACCAACTGAGCCACCCAGGCTCCCCTGGACAGTCATATTTTGGGTGGTAATGAAGTTTTCTTTCTTCTTTGCTCTGTAAGAAATAAGAATGTGTTCAGTTCTGACTGGCTGAAATAGTAGCTTTAAAAAGGCCTATTCCTTTCCCCCCATGTAACAAAGTCCAGAGCCAAGCAGTTACAGGGCATGGCTTCTGTGGTTTCCTCAGCCTTTGCCTCCAGATCCTAAGGTGTCTGTTGTAGCTTCAGCCGCTGTGGTCCCTCGTCAGCCTCAGGAGAGAGGGAAGGGAAGACAGGAGGATGGGCTGGCACACATGGCAAGAAAACAAGGCTTCAGGGATTCCACCATTTCCAGAAGTTCTTCCTGCATCCAATCTTTTGCCTCAATGGCCAGAAGTATCAAACGGCCACCCTAGCTGCAAAAGAGGCTGGGATGTACAGTTTTGCCTCTATAAACATAGGGATCCTGAGTGAAACCACGGTTCTGTCAGTGAGGAAGAAGAGAATGTGTGGGAGTCTGCTCTTCTGTCAAAAAAAATGTCTTCTCTTCGTCTGCCATCTTGATGAACAGTTTAGCTATTCATATAATAAAATCTTATTTTCACTTTCTTTGGGCCATACTCTTATGGGTTTCTCTTACTGAGACTGATGAATCCACAGTTAAGCAAACTGATTCTCATTCGTATATAATGTTCTTAGCTCTGTCCTTTGGACCTTATGTTTTTCTTTGACGTCCTACAGTTTTACCACCACATGTGTAAGTGTGACCTATCTTTGGTTCTAGTTAATTTTCCCCAGCTCTGATAATTGGTTCATGGACTGTGAAAATTTTTCAAATGTCCCCATTTTTCAGATAAGGACACGGTAGTTCCAAGCTCTAGGCAGTGATTTGCCCAAATTCACATCATTAGGGATGGATGCACTAAAAATTTGAAATCAGGTCATGTATGCTATTTTTCCTTGCTTCCAATTAGTATATGAAAGACTCCATATAAGATAAGTCGATGTTAAAAAGAAAGCACTAAAACGAATTTGGGATAAAGAGAAGAAAACCAGAGGAAGGCACATGTACAGGGGAAGGCAGGAGGTAGGAGCAAGAAATGGAAAGGATTAAGAAGAATTTTAATTCTCCAGGACAGACCTTTTAACCCCTCTACACTTTGGCCTAAGAAAATATCCAATGGAATTGCCCTCCATTCGCCCAGGCCTCTTGTTTATAACACTCACAGATTGTGAAATTATGCCGTCATTGTTCCTTCTTTTATATGTTTTTTCAAAGTATGGAAATAAATGGCAGAATGAAATAATTTCATAGCACTGACTGAAAGAGATGAGAATCTAACCCTAGTGAAATATTTTTGAAAGAAAAAAAGTAAGAGAACCCCATTTGAAAAGATTTTTCACGCGGTAATGATGGAGTTTCAGTGAGAAACACCCTTAATTCTCACCCCATTTTGACTCAGAATGATTCCCCTCAGTTAGGATCACAAGTCTGGCATGCAGGAGAGAGGTCTGTGCTAGAGAGGGAAGTTTGGGGGTTGTTAACACAGAGGTCCGGCTGTGAGTTAGTGCCACTAACATGTGAAGTGTTTTATGTTTTTTGGTGTCTTTGTTATTAACTATTGCTTTTCCAATCTGGTGCTTAAAAAAGGGCACCCTGAAACTGGGACTTCAGTGTTTCCTATCTGATTCAAGGACAGTATCTTTCATATCTTATTAATTCTTTGATAACC